CTGGTGATGGGTCCCCATGTGCCTGGCAGTGGGTCCCTTGGTGACGTGTGCGTGGTGACAGGTCCCCATGTGCCTGGCAGTGGGTCCCCTGGTGACGTGTGCGTGGTGATGGGTCCCCATGTGCCTGGCAGTGGGCCCCTGGTGACGTGTGCCTGGTGATGGGTCCCCATGTGTCTGGCAGTGGGTCCCCTGGTGAAGTGTGCCTGGTGACGGGTCCCCATGTGCCTGGCAGTGGGCCCCTGGTGACGTGTGCCTGGTGACGGGTCCCCATGTGCCTGGTGACGTGTTCCTGGTGATGGGTCCCCATGTGCCTGGCAGTGGGTCCCCTGGTGACGTGTGCGTGGTGACGGGTCCCCATGTGCCGGGCTGTGGGTCCCCTGGTGACGTGTGCGTGGTGATGGGTCCCCATGTGCCTGGCAGTGGGTCCCCTGGTGACGTGTGCCTGGTGATGGGTCCCCATGTGCCTGGCAGTGGGTCCCTGGTGACCTGTGCGTGGTGACGGGTCCCCGTGTGTCTGGCCGTGGCCCCCTGGTGACGTGTGCGTGGTGACGGGTCCCCATGTGCCTGGCAGTGGGCCCCTGGTGACGTGTGCCTGGTGTGCCATGTGCCTGGCAGCAGCGCCCTGAGACACCTGGGCTGACCTGCTCATCCCAGACTCCTGTTGAGTACAAGCCACCATTCTGTGGCACTTTCAGTCTGGACTTGCTCCAAGCTTGGAGTATTTGCACCTCTACAGGGGACTTACTGAGAGACATCTTATTCACTTTTTTAAAAAATATCAGGAGTCTAGAGTGACTGCTTACCTGAAGCCTAAATCTTCTGCTTAGAATCACAAAATATCAGAACCGTATCTTGCTGCAACATCTCTGAAATTGGGAGGAAGCATTTTATAATCCATAGTACTTTATAATAGATTGAAATATGATAATTTGTATGACATAGTAGCTATTAATAATTATATGATGCTTATAACCACCACATAAATAAAAATTGCAATGTCCTAAAAGTTTATAAACAAACTTTTATTTTGAAAATAGTGAAAACTTACAGAAGTTACAAGAATAGTACAATGATCCACCAACTCTTCCCATTTTGCCTCTTCCTGAGTCTGTCTCTTTTTTTATATAGATACATAATACATGTTATAGATACACTTATTATTTTTGCTGAACCATTTAAGAGTAATTTGTAGACATCATGATTGTTAACACTCCTCAGAATAAGTGCAAAGGCATTCTCTATCATAACCATACTCAAGCAATATAACATTTATATAGTATACAATACAGTCCATCCATATTCAAATTTTGCCAACAGTACTGATAATGTTCATTTTAGCAATATTCTTCTGATCCCAGGTCTGATGAATCCAGGATCACACATGGCATTTAGTTGGTAAGTCTCTTTAACTTCCTCTATTCTGGATAGGTCCTCAGTCTGCTGCACATTAAATGTTTGTTCAATGAAAGTAGAAGGTGTGGACTAAGACTTTTAGTCTGCATGTCAGTGGTCAGTTCTAAGGTAAATTTTCTTTGTGGTCAGGTGTCCAGTTTCTAGTCCTTCTCTCATTCAAATCTCCTCCATCTGGAGCCTCTTAGGAATCTGGGGCCATCTTTTCCATTTCCCGGGAGCTGGCCCAGGTTGCTGTGTCCAGCAGCCCGCAGAGTCCTCGGCACCAAGCTCACAGTTGCTGCGAGGGTTGTGAGCGACGCCCGTCTATCAGGGTCACCAGTGAGGTTGGTTACAAGAAGCTATTTCTATTTAGATATCCTGTCGGCTCCACAGCTTCACATTTTCTTTCTTTTAAGGAAAACGAAACAGTACACTCCACACCCCTTGCCCTGTTGTGCAGGGGAAGCTGTTGCTGGAGGTTTCATGCAAATTCTACCGCAGGTGGCTCTAGGCTTTTCCTTCTGGTTGGCCGGGCACCTTATCCATAACCATTATCTCTTCTTTCTTGTCCTTTCCCTGCCCTATCACTCACAGCTGAAAACCTCTTTAATCCAGAGTCCACTCTTCGTTCGCTCTCTTTTAGTGTCAATCAAGCATGCAGCTGATTGCTGCTTTTAGCTGTAAAATGCCTGTGAGCAATTTGGAGGGAGAAATGCTCAAAATACTTCTATAAATCCAGACTGAAAAAGCAATACATAGAAATCTACTGAATACCTTAGAAGGGATGTTTACGTTTCCTTGGTGCTCTTAGTTTAGGGATATATTTGTAGTATATTGTGTAATCACAGTCAAGTTGGTTACAAAGCCATGCAATACTCTTCCATCTCTGACCCAGGTTTTAATGATGGTTTTAATGATTAAAACCCAGGTTTTAATGATGAAAGAACAAAAGCCCAGTGTGTCAGGTGATTGCAGAATGCACTTTTTCTGAGGGAATCTGGATTTCCAAGGTTCTTTCCGTGGTAACCAGCAGAATCCAGGACTGGTTGAGTAGGGCTGTCACGTAGCTTAGTGTCCACAGGAACCCAGATGAACTCTAGAATTGTCTGAATGCCCATCCAGAGACCCCAGATGGGGGGTTTTTAGAAGAGGTAATCAAAAAACAAATTGCACCTGATGATTCTTCTAGTTCAGAACAAAGTCAGACCCGATGGGAGGGTGGACAAATAAGTTGGTGGAGGGTTTTCAAACTGGTAAGTGAGTGGGCAGGAAGCAGGGCTATGGGAACTGTCTGGAAGGCCTTTGCCCGTGTCGTCCAGAGCAACTGAAAGCTGTCTCCTCCAGGCCACTGGCTGTGTCTGCCATGGCGGCCGGGTGTGTTCCCGTTTCTGTGTCATGCAGCAAAGGTCTTACCGCGACGATCGGCTAGATTATTTGGGAAGCTGAAGAGTACTGGCAAGCACACGACTGAAAACAGCACAATGTTCTGTGTCCCAGAATTGTAAGAAAAACACTTTCTATCACCAAATCTCCAGGGCAGCACCAGCTTTGGCAAACAGAAGACAAGGCAAAGGGCGCCTGGTTTGAATGGCTGCTCAGTTCTGCAAGGAGAGACTAATATTTAGAAATATTCAATGACCGAAGCAGGAGTTGGCTCCTCCAAGAGTGGCCAACACGCCTAAGGGGGCCCTTCTGCTTTCCATCAACTGGGAGTGTATATTGTGAGCACAAAGGTTGAGGTGAGAGGTCATGAGGACACCAGACGGCCCTGTCACTTCCCTAGCTCCCCTTGGTGGCAGGCATGTCGACACACCATTTAACATATGTCACCTTCATTGGAAAAATGAGATTCGAGAGGTTATACTGCCAAAGGGCCTGCAGCTGTTGCCCAGAGTGGGCCCCTGGTCTGCTTTCAGAACCAGCCCTCTTCTTCTGGCACCCTCCCACCTGCAAGTACGACTGCAGGTCCCAGGGCCGAGCTGACAGTCTATAGCCAGAATCCACGCTCCTAGCTCCGACGTTCAGAGGCCCACAGAACCCTGGACACACTGAGCTTACTAATCTGCAAAATGGGGCCCGAGACTGCACGGGAGGGACGTGAGGCTCGCTTGCTCACATGTGCGAAGCGGTTCCCAAGCTCCGGTCTGGGAGCCTTGTGGGAATGTTTGCATTCCTGAGCTGCAGGGTTCTGTCTGACCCCAGCGCTTGTCCTTGGCATCAGACCCAGAGGACCTTGCAAGCAGCTCACCATCGGCTCCTCAGGCCCTTCCACCAATGGGCCTGAGAGGTGGATAGGCCACCCAGTCCCTGCAGAGGCCTGCTCTGCAAGCGCGTCTCCCAGCCGGAGGGACCCTAGGACGTGCCTGGGATTCAGAGATCACACAGCCTTTGCGCCCACTGGCCTGGGCTGCAGGGGTGGACAGTCCCTTTGGGATCTGCCCGGGGGCTCAACACCAGTGTGTGGCACACACTCTCTCCGGGCCTCCACCACCTCTCCCTGCTTCCCCTAGAAGGAAGGAGGTAGGCACCCTGGGCTCCCAGCTTGCTAGCTGCTGCTCCCCTTTTTTGGAATCCTGCAAAGACCTCCCTGATAGACACACACAGAATATACCTAACACATATATGAATATTTTGCTTGGAGATCCTGGACTCACAGATCAGTTAAGCTCAGACCCCAGTTTTAGAACTGTGGTGAGGATGCCAGGAGTTAATCCAGAGGGACTTGGGCTTCCTGGCTGTGTGATCTGGGTCTGTTCGTTCCTCTTCTGGGTTCTGCTTCCTTACGTGTAAAAATAAGAGTAATGATGGCTGACATTGATGTGTCAGATGCTGGGTGAGACACCTTAACCAGAATTGTCTCACTTGGTCTTCTTAAACACCCACGAGGGATAAGTCCATTTCCCCAGTGTACAGCCAGCCGGAGGAAACTGAGGCACACAGAGATTAGGGAGCTGTCCCAGGGTCTCACAGTGGAGGGGATCAGTAACCTCGCCCAAAACAGTTTAGGCCTGGCTGAAGACGCCCCAAATAGGCACAATTGTTACTAGTTTCCACGTATTCTGAACTTGTCTGTGTGTCCCCCTCTCCATTTTCCCAGAGTCCCCACCTCGCTCCCCAGCACCAAGTTCCGGAGGCTTCCACCTGCCCCACTCCACTGCTCCTCGGCTCACGGAGGCCTCGCCTCCACTGAGGAGCACGGGCGATGGCACAGGAGGACGCTACAGCAGCTGGTCTCAGGTCAGAGGTTCCACAGAGGCACCTCCCCAGTTCCAAGTCCCCCTCCCCTTATGAGTCACCTTGTCTGTGTGGCAAGGGACCGCCAGTCCCACTGCAGCTACGTATTGTGTGAATCAGGGGCGATCGCCTCTCTGAGCCTCAGTTTTCTCATCTGGGAAATGGGGTGGTGAAGGAGACGACCCAGGCCGTGGAGCGCGCCGAGGATCGCGGGGCGGCTCCCGTGCCCAGTGCGGGCCTAGGGGCCCAGAAGCCCTGGCCGCGGCGGCTGGCGGCCCGAGGGCCGGGCCGGGCCGGCGGGCGGGCCGGCGGGCGCTGGCGCGCGGCAGGCGGCGGCGCGCTCTCCCGCGTACCAGCGCCGGCGGCGGCGGGAGATGCGGCTCCTGGCGCTGGCGCGGCGGCGCTGCTGCGCGGGCTCCGGCCCCGGGTAAGCGGGCGGCTGGCGGGGTGGGCGGGCGCCGCGCCGAGGAGGCCGGGCTCGGCCTGGCGGGAGGCCCCGCCGCCCGCGTCGCCCCTGCCCGGGCTGGAGCCGCGCTGCCACCGTGGCCGAGCGCTCGGTGGCTCCCGCGAACTCGGCGGGGCGCAGCGGCGCCTTCCCAGCCCTCGGCGGTGCCCTCCGGGGTCGGGGCGCGTCCCGCCGACCTCGCCCCGCGGAGCCCCCGCAGCAGCCCGGCCTTCCGGGCGCCGGCCTGGGCGGGCGCGGGCGGGGCGCAGCCGGGCTGGTGTGCCCTCTCCGCGGCGTCGCCCCAGCCGTCGGCAGGTTCTTCTGGGCAGCAACTTCCCCTTAGCTTTCTTGGAGAGGTGCTCGGCCCTGGAGGCGGGAGTGGCTGGGTCTGCCCTGGCCCGGACCTTGGGGACTGGGCACTTGGTCGTGGGCCTTCTGAGGTGACCAGGCCTGGGGAGATGGGGCGTCGCAGCTGAAGGAGCGCCCTTTCCCGCGGCACGCTGCTCTGCCGGCGGCTTCTCTGCCCGCTGGCCTCCCTGGGCTTTGCTGCTCCCGCGGGAAGCTGCGGAAGAATTCCCCTCTTTACTCTCGGGGCCATCCAGCCTCCTCAGGGCAGTAAGGACCATGCTGGCCAGAATAACATATATGTTATTGTGATAGCTGAATACATCACTGGTGCACTTTTCCTGGGCGCCCATCCAGTGCCAGGTGTAGTGCTGCGTGGTGTCTCATCTAGCCACAGTGCTACAGCGTTGTAAGGAGTAGAGCAAATGTTTATATATCCAGATATTTCAGAAAACATTAATTTGGTTAATCTCGCCAATAACCTCCGAAGGAGGTGCTATTGTTATCACCATTTTATAGCCAAGGAAACTGAAGCACAGGGCCATGAACTAACTTGCCTAAGTCACCAGGCTTGTAAGTGGTGGAGCTGGGATTTGGAGCCCATAGCCTGGCTCTAGACCCTGTGCTGGTAACTGCTAAGGAGCATTGCCATTGTTTTGTAAATTAGGGAACTAATGCTTGGAATTTAGTAATTTTCTAAGGGTGACCCAGCTGCTAAGTGGCAGAGCTAGCATTTGGGCCAGCATAGATGAGAGTCTGAGGAGGGACTTGGGTAACAGTGGGAAGAAATTCATCCACTGTCCCCTAGCTGCAAGTGCTGCCAGGCTTCCAGTGAACCTGAAATCAGTGCTGTGGGACATGTGTCGGTCCCCGCTGTCACTGTCTTGGCCGGGAATGACGGGCAGTTTTACTGGTCTCATTGGGCCAGGCCAGCTCTCGTAGTCAGCCTGCGCTAGCCAGCAGTTGGTCACTGAGGCCCCTCCTCCCCCAGGCTCCTACTTGCCGGTGCTGTGGGGGTGGGTGTCCCCAGACATTGGCTCTTTTAGCTGGTGAAGGACATTCTCATGTCTCCAGGAGCCCTCAGGAGCCTTGAGAGCTGGAATTTGGGATCCTTCTGAGTCCACCCTGGCTGTGCCCAGGGCCACCCCTCAGATAATGGTCACAGCTCCTGCTTTGGTGACACTCACCGTGTATGATGCCGCCCACTCTTCTAAATGCTTCACCCACAACTCCTTGCCATGATCCTGCCAGACCCATTTTATACATACGTCCAGCACCCTAACCACTGCACTTTTCTACCTCTCCATTTTGGGATGAAGCGGGACTTTAATGGTAATTTGGTCCCACTTTTCATTTTATAGAAAAGAAAACTGACATGCAAAATATTTACTTAAAGCAAAGCTGTAGTCCAGAGTGGTGGCCAAGAGTTGTCTTTGAAGCCAGATTGCCTAGGTTCAAATTCCAGCTCTGCCACATACTGTGTAGCTTGAATAAGTTGCTTAGCCTCTCGGTGCCTCAGCCCTCCTGTCTATAAAATGACAGTAAACAGAGTATGAGGATAATTTGAGAAAAAACATCCAATGTGCGTGGAACAGTACTTGGCATGCAGTTTGTTCCCAGCAGATGTTAGCCTCCATCATTGGGCACGGTGGGAATTTTGTGCTGGATAAGCACTGTCTTCAGGTGATGGGCTTAATATGAATGAATCACCCTTGGGCTAGGTCAGGTAGCACCTCTGCTTAGTATCTAGGGAACACTGGCTCCCAGTGCCATGGCTTTTTAAGTGATACCTGGCTCCGTGAAGTGCGTGGGTGCAGTTTCTTCAGGCAGAGAGGAGGTATGGGGCACAGAGCCGCCAGCACGTTCCTGGCCAGGTCAGAACTGAGGGACTCTGGCTGAGCCCACCTCTGTGTCCCAGGCGAGGCTCTGTTAGAAATAAGGCTTCACAACGAGTAGGTTAGGTACGATTAGCTACATGGATGTCTTCCTAGGCTGTTTTCAGAGCTATTCTTTTCATGACACTATCCACACACAATCAAGGAGGTTAGACCCCTTAACTCTTATCCACAGGAATTTAAGATTCACTTACAAGCATGCCAGCTACATCCTTTGTAGGGGGGATCCAGCGCAAAGTGAAAATGTGGGGCCCCTCGATAAAAAGTTGCTAAGATTTCAAGGAAGCAACAGCAGAGATTAAACCAGGTGTGGGCCCTGTGTCTGCAGGTCTCAGGCTCACGAAGCCCACCCTCTTAACGGGACAGTGTGCGTGCCATTGCTGGTGCTGCACCGCCACCGCGCTCAGGGACGCACGCTGACTGGTGTCTGTGTTGTAAGGGCGTTTTCCCATTGCAGCCTTATGCTCACCAACAGAGGCGCTTTCCCATTTCTCAGGTGATGACACTAAGGCTCCGAGGGCCTCACACTTGACAGAACCAGGTTTCCAGCCCAGCTCCGATGGATGCCAGACCCTGGCTTTACACCAAGCCCCACCAAGTCACCACTTCTGTGTCTTGTTGTGTCTCCCAGCTACCTGGGAATGCCCAGGACCATGGCATCCCTGTGCCCAGCCCGTGTGGGTGCCCAGGACTGCCAGTAACAGAGCGTGTGCTTGCTGGAGTGGATTCACTACAGCAGGAATCCCTACCTCTGTTTGGGTCAGTCTCTTCCCTATCGGTGTCTACAGGGGGCCTGATCGGGATGGAGAATCCCCTGCTGCAGCCCACGTGCAGCCAGGGGTGGCTGTGCCACAGTGGGGTGCAGTTCAGCAGGAGGCGCCGAACTTTACATTTCCGGCCTGGTCCTCCTGCCTCAGGACCTTTGCACAGGTGGGACACTCTTCTAGGAAGGGTGCTCCTCACTGCTGCCCTGAATTTTATTTTAACTCCAACTGGGCCTTCAGCTCATGGGCATCCCCAGGGTCCCTTCCCTGACCCTGAAGTCTAGATCAGGATCTTGCCATGGCAAGACTTTCTGAAGCCCTGCACCTTTTCTCTGTAGCATGTGACACTGTACATTCTCCTACGTCTTTGTCCCTGTGAATGGCTGCCTTACCCACTGGACTCCCAGCTCCACGAGGTCAGGAACGTTGTCTTCCTCACACAGTACCTGCCACATAGGGCGTCACTGGGGGGCAGGAACTCCGCGTGGGGAGGTAGAATGTAGGGGAGAGTCTACCTCCCGCAATTCCCTACAATGCAGAGTCTTAAGACAAGAAGTTAAATTCTTTTCTGGGCCAGAGTGACTTTGACAACCCTCCTTCCTAGGCCAGGAGATGGGAGTGTGTGCTCTGCCAGGGCTCCTCATTTTCTCACCTCGTGGAGGAGGGGCGAGTGGCCCCCGCCCTGTCTTGCCAAGGCCCATGTTTGCTCGGCCCCCCTGCCCTGCCGGGTGTGTATGCCCTGCCTTCCAGACTGGGGTCCAGAGAGGAAGGGCCTGCGCCTGTCACCTGCCCCTGGTGTTGTCGTGCCCTACTTCCCACATCCCGACTGCCACGGGTGTTTCCTCGCTGAGCCTTGTGGGCCTGACGACTGTGGGGGCAGATGTCTGACCCCCACCCGCCACCCTCTTAGTATTGACATGACATCCACGGCTGACACTTGCCAGGCCTAGGCCTCTGCCTGCGTTCTCTCCCCTCCCTCCAGCCCTGCCCTCCCGCAGCTGCCGGCGTTGGAGTGCCGCCTTTACGCAGCCATCCTCAGTGCTGGGGAAGGTGTCACCTTGGAAGGCTCGTCACAGGCACGGGGACCCCACAAGCTGAGGGTCCAGTAACATCACCTAGCCCCTCGTGCTGAATAGATATCTGGGCTGGCGGCCACTGCAGGGCCGAAATGAGCCTTCCTGGGAACAGGGTTACAGCGGTGTGCTCCGGCTCCTGTGACAAAGTACCACAGGCCAGTGGCTTATACCACAGAAACGGGTTGTCTCACATTCTGGAGGCCAGAAGTCCAAGATCAAGGTGTCCGCAGGGTTGGCTCCTTCCAAAGCCTCTCTCCCTGGTCTGCAGATGGCTGCCTTCTCCCGCGCCTTGGCGTGGTCTTCCTGCAGTGCGTGCCTCTGTCCTAATCTCCTTAGAAGGACACCAGTGATATTAGATTAGGATCCACCTTAATGACCTTATTTTAATTTGATTACCTCTTTAAAGACCTCATCTCCAAATACAGTCCCATTCTGAGGTACTAGGGGTTAGAGCTTCAACACGTGAATTTTGGGGAGACACAATTCTGCCCACACAGAAAGGTCTTTGCACTTCAGTGGCAGAAGCAGATGCTTGGCCTATTTGTAAGAGACTATGGGGCAAGATGAAGGCAGAGAGGTGTGTCATAAAGAAAAAAGAGGGCTCATTCTGGGGCACTAGTTGGGTCCCCTCCCTCCCCTGGTGCCGCCGATGGGCCTGAGCGGCAGAGGCGGAAGGGTTACTGGCTTGCCTCCAGGATGGAGTCTGGCCTCCGTGGGGACGGAGCACTTGGCACATGCTCTTGGTTGCAGTCACTATAAATAATCCATCCTTCTTGCAGAGTTAATAGGAGGAGCCTGGGGCGCAGGGTCCCGGCTGCGCCCTCATCCCACCCATCTCGTTTCCATTTCCTGCCTTCCCCCTGTCCTGGACTCCGCTGGGATCGGGCGGTGGCGAGGGGGGCTGGACTTCAGTTCGGGAAGCCAGCTGCCGCGTCTCTGTCTCGGCTGCGCTTTCCCCCTGCCCAGCCCTGGCAGCTGTTGGAGCGGCTCAGCCTGTCCCCAGCTGCCACATTCCTCACCAGGGAGCTCCCATCGCGGGGCGTGCGGACACGGGCCTTAGCAGTCAGGAACAAACGCTGCCTGACTAATGTGGCTTTCGGGCAAGGTGCCCACTAGGTGGGTGAGCTGCAGGGGCCATGGTGGGGCCAGTTCCTCTTCTCTTGCCCTGGGTTAGTGACTTCTGATGACAGTGGGATTGTTACTAGAGAGCATGTCCCTCCCTTGGCGCCTGTGGATCTGTAGTTCCCAAGTGTCCCCCGGGGCTGGCTTGGTCCCTCATTGCTGTAGACGCGGGAGACCTCCTGCCTGTCCGCAAGAAGCTGAAAGTTCGCTGGAGCGTTAACCTTCTTCCACGCATGTCAGAGTGTCTGTGTCTAAACCCTGGGGTCCTGTGACTGGCGCCTGATGTGGCCAAAGGCACTATATGGCTGTGATTAAGTTAAAGCTCTTGGGTTAGCATTGAGTGTCCTGTGGGCTTGTGCCTGTCTCCTGAGAGACGAGAAAGAAAATTAAAGAAAATTGGCCCTCAATTGTCTCTCTCGAGGTGGTCAGTCTATACATCAACAGCAGGGACCGGATGAGAGGATGACCCATGGCCTGGATGGTCACGAGGGAGGCTGTTCCCCGCCCTGCCGCAGGCTGTGCGTGTGCCGACCCACAGCCTGCGTGGGGATGTCCAGGTCTGTCGTGACCTTCCTCTTTCTTCCTCGCCTGCCTGCAGCACTGACCGGGGTCAAAGCTTTTGGTGACCTCGACATCTGGGGCCCGAGCCCTTTTATGTGACTAGACGGTGACATTTGGGGCTGAAAGATGTGGTTTGGGCTGAAGTGGGGACACTTGTGCGGGGAGGGGCAGCGAGTGGCTTCCTGGACTTGTGCGGGGTCAGTGCAGGGGTGCGGGACCGGCGAGAAGTCATCCCTGACGAACAGAAAGAGCTCCCCGCATCCTGTGCGGGGTCCTTGGGTGGTCTCTGCGTGCCAGGAGAAGGCTCTGCCGTGAGCTCCAGGGGTCGGCCCGCCACAGTGCACAGTCCCAGGTGTGCCGTGACCAGTAGCTCCTGGGAAAGGATAGCGGCGTGGGCCCCTCCGAGGTCTGCTGGTTGGGATGGCTGGGTGGGGGTGGGGGTGGCGCCACAAAGGCCAGCTCAGGGCGGAACAGCGGCTGGGAGTGGGCAGCCCTCGGGCCTGTTCTAAGAAACCAAAGGACAGGAAGTACTGACTGGGTCTGGAATTCCAATGTTTTGGGGTGATGGGAGGGGCTCTCATCCCTCTTCGTACCTGGGGCCCGATAGTTCTTTATTCTTGCTTCAACTCCGAGACCATGGACCCTGAGTCAAAGATGAAACTGAGCAACTCTTGTCATTGCAGCTCACTGGTACTATTTAGCACCCCAGCTGACGGTTACAAACCCTCTGCCCTGGGTACGGTTGAGGCAGCTGGGACAGGGCAAGGGCCATGGAAGGGCAGACCCAACTTCGTGGTGGACAGGCCGTCAAGGGGGCGGCCTGCCTGCCCTGCCCCAGCAGCTCGACATCAGGCTGGTGACAAAACTGATCCAAGCCTGCAAGGGGAGGTGACTGCAGGTGGCGGGTGGGGGTATGGGTTGGGTATAGGCTGGAAATTTTCAAAAGATGACAAAAATCCAATTTTATGTTAAGTCTTCTGAATTTTAAATGTTAGCAGCTGATGACAAAATTTTGCACAGTGCTCTGGGCCAGGCGGTCAGTGTTTGGCATCCCACGTGGTGGAGGGACCCATAGGTGGGACAGTAGGAGCCCATGGAGCTTCGCCCCAGAAGAGCGCCCTCCTCTGGCCCTCAGGAAGGTGAAGCCGGTGTGGAGGAGGGCAAGCCAGGGGGAGCGGGGCTGTCTGGTGCAGGGCACCCACGCACGGCACTCGCCTGGCCACTCGACCGTGGACTGTGCACACGGGGACACAGGCCGTCCTCACCTCTCCTTTCCCCTTTTTCTCTGCAGAGGTCTGTGAGGCCCTCAATGTCACCGTGACCCCGGGGCCTGTGGTTGACTACCTGGAGGGGGAAAATGCCACTCTCCTCTGCCACGTCTCCCAGAAGAGGCAGAGGGACAGCTTGCTGGCGGTGCGCTGGCTCTTCTCGCGCTCGGACTCCCAGGAGGCCCTGATGGTTAAGATGACCAAGCTCAGGGTGGTGCAGTACTACGGGAACTTCAGCCGCAGCGCCAGTCGGCGGAGGCTGCGCCTGCTGGAGGAGCGGCGGGGCGCGCTCTACAGGCTCTCCGTCTTGGCCCTCCGGCCGGCGGATCAAGGACATTATGTCTGCAGAGTCCAGGAGATCAGCAAGCACAGGAGTAAGTGGACGGCTTGGTCCAACGGCTCCTCCGCGACCGAAGTGAGAGGTGAGTGCGCGTCTGTCTCCCTGGGAGACGCGTGGGGGCAGGTCAGTGGCCCTCCCTCCTGTCACCTTGCAGGGGCACCCGGGTGGGTCTGCTGGGCCGGAACACACCTTGTTGGCCTTGGTGGGCCACAGCCAGAGAGGCAAACCTGGGGCGGGCTAGATCTCACCGGGCACAGGCTGAGGTGTGGTACCGGCATGGAAGTGCGCCGGCCCGAGCCGCCCGGCCTGGCCTCTGGGCAAGACCCGTGTCCTGTCTCCCGGTTGGGTGAGCCGTGTGCTGTCACAGATGCGCAGAGCTGGACGCTAGTCAAGGGCGGGGGCCGGCGTTGCTCAGCAGTAACTAGCGCGGCAGGGAGAGCGTCCAGCACGGGCTGGCCCGGCGCCGACCTGTGCACCGGCGCTGGGCTTTCGGAAGGCGAGTGGGGGAGGGGGAGGGGCGATGGGGACTCGGGAGAGTCAGGGAAGTGTAAACATTACAGAGAGCAGTGTGCGGGGTGTTTGGGCTGCGTAGACCTGTCTGGGTTTGCTGATGTGCCTGTGGAACTAGGTCCCCACTTCCCACAGAGATGGAGTTCGGCTGGAACAGTTCGTGCTTTCGCCAGCGGCACTTTGAGGAGAGTAGGGTCATCCAGCCACTCGGCCTTGGGCTGTTAGAAACTGTGTTGGCGTTTGTCCACGTCTTCAGAGGGGCTCGTGGTGGCGGGGTGCCGGGCACCCATGGAGGAGGCTCGCACTGGGACGTCCTCGTGTGAATTCTCAGGCCTCAGAGCAGGACAGGCTGGTGGCTCCGACCCATCGCCCCCTGGGCTCATGCACGCCCGGGCGGCTGCTTGCGGAGAGGCGCGTCGGGAAGTGGGCAGAGGGGCAGAGGCGGCCCTCCTCCCGCAGGTGCACGGGGTGCCGGCCGTTCCCGAACGTCTTCACCACCATGTTTGAGGGTTAATGGTTTTTATCTTCAATGTTCTATTCAAGGAGACACCTCTTGCAATTTTATTTAAACTTTGTATTGTCCACTGAAATTATATCTTTGATTGTTTTGAATTGAATTTAGTTTGGCATAAGATCAAGGGATTATAAAGTAAAGCTGATAGACCCCAATAAGAAAACGCATCTCTAATTTTGTTGTATACATATAATATAATATTAAATGCCTTAGTGATGTTTTGTTAACATTTTTATGGGATAAAAGTCAGTTGTGAAAGGGATTTTTAATGTCCTATATGAATAAGGGACATGTGTTGAAATACTTTATAAAGATACTCATTAAAGTTGTTCAGCTTGCCTTTGGAGTTACTTGTAATGTTCTTAAGCACAGAGTGATGCATTAACTAAAATGTTGTGCACTTTTTCTCCTTTAGCAAATTGATTCAAGAAACCAATTACTATTAGTATAAATATGTATTTTGGCACAGAAAACAAAAAATACATCAGACAACTGAGGCTGGGAGAGTCCACTTAGAACATCAGTGGCTCCACAGCACAGGATCTCATAAAGGCCTTCTCCTCCTGTCTTCATGGCGCAGTGCATTCTGGGTCACACACGAAGCTCTTGGCGGTGACAGCATTCTGCCCAGTAGAATATGTAAGCATGTGCCTTCCAGTAAGCACAGTCATCTAGTTCGCCATTTAATGTGGCTCTACTTTCAGTGAGTGAAGCTGGGTTCCTTCCAGAACCTTTATTTGGAGCTTGTTCCAAGACTTCAATAGAAATTACCATGTCTTTGCCCTCTTCTGTGCTTCCTCCGGCCCTGCCCTCCCCCGCCCCCCTTTCCTGCACTCTCTGTCTCTTTTCAACTTCCTCTTTCCTCTCCCTGTCTCTCTGTCTCCCATCTGTCTCTCTGTGTCTGTCTGTCTCTCACTCTCCCCTGGTCCTCCCGGCCTCTTCCCTGGCAGTGGTTCTAACCTCTCTGCAGAGCTCTGCCTCCCTCTCCACTTTACTCTGCCCCAGCCTCTGGGCAGGGCTTACCTTAGGAAGCAATGACCTTACCTTCTAGAACGTTCCACTTACACTTCCAGGGAACTGTTCCAAGGTGTGAAAAAAAGGTAACCCCAAGTAAATGGCCTGAAACCAGACTGTCTTGTTTAGGATGGAGTGTATGGGCCCCAGGCCAGGAAGTGTGTGAGCCTTGGCCACCTGTCCTTCCCAGGTAGGCACAGGCCGCAGCCTGCTGTTCCGGCCCTACTGGCACCTTCCCTGGGGTCCAGGGGCCTTATTTTCTTTAATCTCTACCTCATGTTAATAGTTGTTATATGGAAAACAAAAACAAAACCAACAACGAGAAGTTCTAGGGTAGACCTGTTTGGGTTGGCATGTGGCATATTAAACAGGATCTCTCACAGATTTTCTTTTCTTTTCTTTTCTTTTCTTTTCTTTTCTTTTCTTTTCTTTTCTTTTCTTTTCTTTTCTTTTCTTTTCTTTTCTTTTCCTTTCCTTTCCTTCCTTCTCCTCCTTCCTTTCCTTCCCTGTTCCCCGGCTTCCCCTCCCCTTCCCCTTCTTCCCCTTCCTCGTCCTATACACACTTCCCTTCCTTCCCTTCCCTTCCCTTCCCTCCCTCCTTCCCCCTGCTGCCTTTCCCCCTTCCCTTAACCCCGTCCCTTCCCCCTTCCCCTTCCCTTTCCCCTTCCCTTTCCCCTTCCCTTCCCTTTCTTTTTTTGAGACAGAGTCTCTCTCTGTCACCCAGGCTAGAATGCAGTGGTGTCAGCCTAGCTCACAGCAACCTCAAAGTCCTGGGCTCAAGCGATCCTCCTGCCTCAGCCTCCTAAGTGGCTGGGACTACAGGTGTGGCTACTATGCCTGGCTAATTTTTTTCTGTTTTTTGTGGAGATGGGTCTCACTCTTGTTGGTCTTGAACTCCTGAGCTCAAGTGATCCTCTTGCCTCAGCTTCCCAGAGTGCTAGGTGTGAGCCACCACACCTGGCCACTCACAGATGTTTTGAGGTGCCTCACTTCCCACCCCCACACCCCACAGTCTCTTTCCCAATATGCTCAGTTTACTTCCCTGCTTCCTGCAGGCATCTCGAGCCTTCCATGGGAGAGGGGAGCTTTTCTTGGGATTTCCTTTCTAGCACTGCCCCCGCCCTTGGCCTTCACCACGGACTTCATCACGGCCTCCTTCCTGCAGTGTTCGAACCAGAGGTAAAATTGCTTGTCTTCCCCTGCAAACTCCTGCAAAGAGAGGCTGGTGCCTGGTCTCTTCTCCCTGTTGGGTGCACCTTGCTCGGCAGACAGAGGGTGGCCCTGCTGGCGTGTGCAAGGGTGGCTCCGGCACAGAGCAGGGCCACGGGCGCTGGCTCCTATCCTTTGTCCTGATTTCCATGCTGTTTTCTATTGCAAAAGTAACATAATTCAATTATAGAAAACATGGATAAATACTGATGAGCTTGAAAGAAGAAAATAAAAATGACACACTGTGTCTCCATCCAGGCACAGCTTAACATTGCAGTGCAAATCATTTTCTGCAAATAAAATTTTAAACCCTAATTTCAGTCTTACCGTGAGTGCTGTTCTGTGACTGGCTTGCCTGACTTACTCAGTAGTGTGTGCATAGCCCCTTGTTGTTAAATGCGCTTCCATTCCATAGCGCTAATGACGGAACAGGGTTCCGCGGTGTGGACGGACGGCGATTTAGCTTCCTAATGATTGTTATGGGCATTTGAGCTGCTCTGAATCCTTGTCAATAAGTGTCCATGGATGTCCCTGTCCTTAGCACAAGTCCTGGAAGTAAGATTACTGGGGCCAAGGGTCTGTACAGTTTAAAGATAGCTGCAATTTCAATAAGTGAATTGACTTCTAAAATAGTTAATAAATTTGTATTCCCACCCGCACTGAAACTGCCTTTTCCCCATGGATTTTTTTTTCCACATAATTCTGATGGTTAATTTTATGTGTCAACATTGGCTGGGCTAAGGGATGCCCAGATAGCTGGTAAAACAGTATTTCTGGCTGCGTTGGTTCTGTTTCTCTGGAGAACCCTGACTAATATAATCACACATGCTTTTGGAGGATAATGATGGCGATGATAATGATGGATGCCTACAACAGTGCCTGGAACACAATCAACCCCCAATACATACTTGACGAATGCATGAACTGCTCTTTCTTAGGTGGCTTTGGTAGGCATGACTTGGTGGCCGCAGCCACCTCTCTGGGAGACCTCACCTCTCTCCCTTGGCTATTCTAGTTGTCCGTCCTGTTTGAGGACCCACATCCATTCTTCTTCCATCTTGCCTTCTGTGAGTATGCCAGTCCAGCATACTGTGACATCCTGTAGCTTCTGTTTTATGTATTATTGACACAACACTGTGTAGCCACGCCACTGTTTTTGTAAGCTGCTGTGGCACAGGGTTGATGTCAAAAAATATTATAAATAAAAGAATGAAAGGATGTAAAAACTAAAATGTGACAGTCTCTCTCCCTCACCCAGTTCCACTTCCCACAGATGTAATCATTATCAGTGATTTGGTTTAGATCTTTTAGGTTCTTCTCCTTTTGACATTCATACACACCCACACACGTGTTTTAACAGTAGAGCATGTGTTGCTTTTTAAGTGTTGTTGATGATAATATACGTATTTTTTTGTAACTGATATTATGCAGTAAGAGAATACCAAACTGCATCCAATCATTTACACAGTGATAAACACTTAGGAAACTTCCAGTTTTTCACTAATGAAAACAGTGCTTCAGTGAAATCCTTGTACGTATTTCCAAGTGTTTCTGTTGGTTAGATTCTTGGAAAGGGAATTTCTGGGCCTAAGACTATGCATATTTAAATTTTTAATAGACAATGCCAAAATGCTATTGCTGAAAAGACTTTACGAATTTATACTCTGACCATCATTGCATGACAGTGTATATTTCCCTGAAACCTCCTTAACAATCGATATCATTAATCTTTTCCATTATTTATCATAAGGATGAGAAAATATTTCATTGTTTTAATTTCGATTATTATATTCAATACAATACAATGCAATTTAATTTCTGTTGTATTCAATTAT